TGATTATTGATCACTTGATTCGAACGTCAGAAGTCTATTGGTCCACGTGAGCTGACCGTGTAGTCAACTCTTGCGTACTGTTGGCTAGAGTCCGCCTCAATGATGTTCCTTTGTCCTGTTGATCTGAGGCGGAGTATTGTTTTAACCCTCAGTGCTTCATAGGCAGTATCAACATCAAAGTGTCCGTTGATTGAGTTCTACCCCGAGTACCAAGCCTCGATGAACTCGCGTGCTTTTCGAGTTTTTGCCCTGCCTATGATCCTGACATTCTCCAAATCAAACTGATGATTCTCGGCATTCATATGTACCGACATCAGGAAGTTCTGATCATGTCGGCGGATGGCTAGGCTATGCTCATGTAGCCTAGTGCCGAGCTTTCTTCCTGTCTGGCCCACATAGTATTTGTCGCAATTTTTGCAGTGGATTTCGTAAATCACACCACTTGTTTCTTCTTTGCCAAGCCGGTCTTTACCAATACACATTAGCTGAGGATGAGAAAAACACCTCGGCCAATGTGTCGCAATACAAAAAGTAAGACAATAAGCATTGCAGACTTAAAAAGCATTAAAAAGTAGCATAATGCTAATGTCACATTTTGATGGTTGTTGGAAAGAGAAGCTAAAGGGAAGGGGAGGGACAAAGGCTCACAACACAAATCGCCCTGAGATCGACTCTTCGCCATGTCAGCGTGTGTATCCAAGTAAACGTGTTTATCATCCTTCGATCCCCAGCCAGGCAGTCGATAAACCCCAACCGAAGCAAACTTACCCCAACACGCAACCTTAGAAGATCCTGAACAATTCGCATGTGCTTTACACATCTGAAACAACAGCTAATCGCAGATAGAATGGGTTATAGGTGCACCATTTGGCCCAAAGTTGTCTGACTCGAAGTGGAGGATAAGAAGAGTGGTGCTCTCCTAGAGTCATGGGCAACAAGTGCCACGTGTGATCGATGCCGATCGAAATGAGATTATAACTCACAAGTGCCATTTAATCTTGAGGAAGGTGTCATTGATCTCTCCTTAACCTCCGATGAGGAGGATGTGGAAACCGAGCTTGTTTAACCCCTAACGGTTGAGCTGTCTGGTATGAGTGGTCCTGAAGACACTTGGAAAGTACTATTCACCGCGCCTCTTTGGGGTGCTTGTTGACTTCGAATGGCTCTCGATGGTTAGGTTAGGCACGTTACGTGGCTATCAGTCGGTTACCATGGAGTGTATTGCTTGCTATTACTGCGCCTAGTTGGTCGGAACCCAGAGGTGTCCATCCAACTACACGTCAAAGAAGCACGAAGAAACGCACTGGGTTGATACCTGCCTTTTTGTCGGATAGGGTCAGGGGCGCTCTTACATTTGTTCTCTCATTTGGGACCCTTGACCGATCCATCTGCCAAGTTATTTTTCGTTCTTTTGAGTTACCATTATCATTGTACTGCCGATGCCTTTCAAGGTAACTGGGTATACCGTACATCGCTGACCGGATCAAAGTTGACAAATTGAATTGAGATGAACTCAGTGTAACTCCGTGGGCCATGCAGCTGTACAAATCATCAAACCGCGTCAAGACCCACTCTCGTGACTGAACACCCCAGATGTGTCAGCTTGACGCCAGTGATTCCAAATCCGCTTGATTCCACTCTCGTCCGGCGTCTTAGTGATGAACACTACCCGACTGAACTAGGACGATGCAGGCTTTCGACACGAACGAGGATGCTTAGAGAATGTTGTCATTTGTGGAAATTGTAAGATTCGTGTCACTATAGCGGCGTTTATCATGATCAAGAGGAATGAAATCCCTCACTTGGAAGTTTGTATCGGCTAGTGTGTCCCGACTGCCTGGCTGGGGTCCGAAGGACGATGAACACATTTGATCGGATACACTAGTTGACAGGGCAAAGAGCCGACCTCAATGGCGTTGGGGTTGTCTTTTTGTTCCTTCTTATCCTTCCCCTACAACCTCGATCTCCCTCATGACGCATAACATGTTACTAAGTAGCCTGTCGCCTGTTTTGTTAGCATTCTCTAGCTTTCAGCAGCTTGATTTCTTGTTTATCCAATCGTTATGTATTGCGGCACAATAGTTGAAGCGTGTTTCTCATGTTCAGCTTATGTGTAATGATGATGATGATGTTTATTATGAATGAGTCAGTTCTTTCTGACTACAAAATTGGAAGTGCTGCCAGTTGATCGACTGACAAACCTGAAGTTTGCGTACGACATAGCTCTCCTTGCGTCTGACGCAATGACCATGCAAAAACTACTGAAGAAACTGAGGGGCAGCGCTACGCGTTTCAGTAGGTGCATCGCAGCTTCAAACTACAAGGTGTTGTTGCATGACGGGCCGAAAGGCCACCGATTCTAGCTATCAGCGAGAAGCCACTGGAAATGGTAGATCGGTTCACTTACCTTGGTAGCTGTGTAACCACAAGTGATCACATCACTAAGGAAGTTACTCCGCGTATCAGTAAGGCTCCGTGTGGCTTTCTAGAGGCTCAACCATCTATGAAGACGGCAAGAAAATTTGTGCGCATAACGCTACGGTAAGGCCGGTCTTAATGTATGGATCAGAGACCTGACCAGTTCGCGGCGAAGGCATTGAAAGTTTGGCTATGTTTGACCACCGATGCTTGCGAAGTATTGCTCACATCTGGTGAGAACATCGGGTGGGCAATGCTAAAGTCCGTCAGTTGATTTTTGGCAAGATGCTACTCTCGAGTGCTTCCTAAATAGTAATTGCTCGCAGGAACTAGGCCGTATCCTCCGTATGTCTGTTGAGCGGGTTCCTCGGTATGCACCATACGCCATGGCTGCAGCAAGTTCGCCGAAGTCGTGCGGTAGTCAGTCAATGACGTGGGATAAATGCGTGAAGGAATTGACTGAGAGACTTGGTTAGACTGGTTCATGCCGTCTTCGTGGATGGGGATCCCGGGATGGTCCACACTAGTTGTTGGAGACCCTTTCAGACATGGCGTAGTGGTGCAGTCAATGAGGTATCTACATTCGGCTTCTGGCATCTAGCCGTTAATTTTCATTTCTTCTTGTTTGGCTTAACGCACCTCCTTGATTCAATGTTTTTTGCGTTCTATGTGCATTCAAGCACATTCGCTCACAACTGTTATTCATTGTTAGTTTGTCTATGCAAGTCGTGGTAACTGGTTCCAGCGCACCTGGGTGCCCGGATCATAGTTGCTCAACTAGATTGAACTGAAGAGAAATGAAAAACCGTGTCGTCCCAATTCAACAGCGTATTTATCCGAGTCGATCAGTTTGTTCGGTTAGATGCGTAGGCTAAAGAGGAATGTTCCAGTAAAGTATGCGAACAGTTTACATGCCAGATCACCGAACATATTATGGTGCACCAGTGGTTGGATGAAGTTCTGATAACAAGTGATTCAGCAGGGCTCTACCAGGTTCCTAATGAAGTATGGAAGTTAGTAGGAAGTGCGCTGTGTGACGTCTCGCGACGCGGATGTTAGTTTTCCAAGGATAGCTTGAAATTATAAATAGTGTAGCTGTTAAATGGCAATTTGAGATGTGTGTGGGGATGGTCTTGACGATAATTACGATGCTCTTTCAAAATGTATGCAATTTCCGAGAACAGAACGAAACCAACTAAATGTAAAACACATGTCGCTGTAGGACACTTGAGACTACCCCTCGGATGAATGCTCATTTGGGCAAAAGGAGTCATTACTTACCTAGGGTTGTCAAGTAAGCTAGGTAGCCTATATCTAACTTGACAATCTACGAGAATACAGCTGCAAGCTAGCTAATGAGAAACATCTTAGCTAGTGGCATAAAATAAATCAATTAGATGGTAAACGGGGTGAAAACGAAACAAATGCTAGTAGGCATTACTGGAGGGTCATTTTGAAGTATAAGTGTAAATGGATTGTGAAGCACAATCTCAATGTGGACCGCGATTCCCACTAAAGTGGACCGTGGCCAATTCCATCACGGGATCTGTAGCGGTTGAAGCATATATATATTGGATGTCACCGGCCCAGAAACCCTACGAGTTCCTCGAAATGACCCTCCAATCAGTCAGTAACACTTGTCCAGTAGCGAAAGGAGTAGAGGCTTCGGTAAATATTCCAATAGTCCCGGGTTCGATGCCAATCTGATAAGATCAAGGTCGAAACGCGTCGTGGTGTGCAGTGTTTTCTGGTGGCCAACACCTAATAGATAGGATGCTTCGTTCTTATTAAGCATCGATTTTGAGATCGTAATCAGAGGGTATTCCAAACAGAAATGGAAAGGATCATGAAACTCACAACACAAGCGCTACTGAGATCGGCTCCCGACAGTATCAATAAGCGCCATAAACCAAATGCATTAATCGTCCTTCACGGCCACAATGGCGCTTGTTTTGTAAGTCTGATGAAACCCCATTTTGCATATCCTCCCCATTAAGCCACGATCTAGTTGTTAATACATAAGAGAAAACGTTGATAACATTGCGTGGTTGATCACCTGATTGGATTACATAACGACAAAATGGCTGGGTATGTTTATCGTTCCTGGCTAATCTGTAGGGGGATAAATGATGACGGTATGATCCTTCGGACCCTAACCCCGGAGTCGACAGGCTCCAACGGAGGCCAACTTCGAAGTGGGGGGTGTCATTCTTCTTGAGCAAGTCATCGCTTGACATCCCTCCTTTTCTCCCATCCGCAAACCAATTGTACACACAACGCAATTTGCAAAGGTCGGTGTGTTGACAAGCGTAGCACGTGGCCCAGCCGTCAAAGCTTGGTGCGTGAAATAACGGTGCTGAGTGCTTCAGTTTCTTTTTCTGCATAGAAAATGAGGCGGTGAGCACGTTCACTGCTCAAGCGGTGTGCTTATCATATGTGAGCTAAGTTGCAAATGCACCAGTGGTTGAACGCAACTAAGTTGTGTACGCACGCCCATCTGATGGGCCAGGTTACGCAGTCGCACAGCATTGTGAACATAAAACAATGATGACGAAGTAACGGATGTCTATGACGGGACTCACATTGAATGGGATAGGAAACTCATCGTCCTCATCAAGATCTGAATCCACTAAGTCCGCATCAGCCAATGAGGTGAGGGAAAGTAGCTCCATTTTCAACCTGTTATCCACATCGTGCAACTCAAGCAACAGAGACTCCAGTAATTTCAATCGATCACGAATTTTCTCTATGAGAAAACGAGCCACAGTACGTGATAAACGAAGAGGCATGGGATAAGAATGCAAAATCCTGAATAAGAGAGAAAAGGGGAGTGAAACAGCAGCATGGTAAAGTGGACAGGACGACGAGATGGGGCAAAATGAAAGCGCAGAGTGTAAGACGCTGTATCTTGATTTTGATGTGTTTCGAAAAGGCACGTTTAAGGTTTCCATTCATGTCCGGCCCGAGGCCTTAAGGATCACAAGCTTGCCTGGTAATCTCACGGCGCGGGTTCGAGCCTAGGTAGGGACTGGGCGACTCTCACAGTATCCCTAACCCACGTGCGACTGGTGGTGGCTGTGTAGCAGCGAAACGTCGGCACTGCGTACCAGCGTATTGCCGATGTGTTTCCACTTTTTTCATTCGGAAAACTGGATATTGTATAGCATCACTCCAATTGTTAATATGGACAGATAGAACCGAGTGAAAAGTCACGAGTTCAGAAAAGTTTGGAAACAATCCGTTGGGGTAACTGTTGGACAACGTTTAACTTTCGACAAAACTTCGTCAGGCCAGGTGAATCTGTATGAAATCGGAGTGGCATTTGTAATGAATAGAGATGGAGATCGCGATGCCCTAGCATTGAGCCAAAGTGTTACTGCAGTTACAGTCCATGATGTCACTTCAACTGGTTCAGTCACAGTAAGAATAGTAGGGGTGTTCACTTGTGCCTCATGGCATTGACGGATGAGCCCCAAGTGATGACAATGGGAGTCGAGTTGCACTTGCCAATCTGATTCGCGTACCGACTCTCGTCAGACTGGCTGGATCAGGATCGCTTGCTAGGCACTGGAGAGTTCTACTCCTTACATTCCATTCACACATCTGTCCGATGTGACAATCTCGAACGCCTCGGCAATCAACCGCTGGGGCGTTACTCGTATACCTCTCTTAATGACCTCTAGGTTATCCAAACCGATCTGGTGACCCGTGTCTAATGCATCCACAGCCACAGCCGAGTCTCTTAATATTGCCGGTCGGTTTCAACCGCCTGTATTGTGACTCACTGATATAATCATGTAGTAAGAGAATCCGCAGTTTCCTTGCCACTTGCTTCTGGACCAAAATGTTGTTTTCTGGTACCTTGTCTAGCTGGAACTTTTGTCTATCCCCCAAAATAGACACCATCTTTAAAATGTAATCAGGTCGGTTCATTATCACAATGCCTGATCCTTTATCCGGCTGCAGAGACATTGTGTCCCATTTGGTACAACTCTGATCGCCATATGGTTGGCAGCATCCGGATTCGGATTTGCCTGTCAATGTGGTCAGCCACAGGACGCCTGCGCCTACAGAGTGACCATGGGTGGCTTGCGCTGCACCACCCACAGCTCCAACCACACACCCCATATCTAGTGTAAACCCGAAGGAATAAGACCGGGTGGCATGTGGATGAGATCCACGTTTCATCAACGGAGCCAGCTCACATTCTTTCACAGGCAAACACAAGTACGCTGTAGTTGGGAATCAAGCGCACACAAGGCGGTGACTGGATCGTAGTCCGCTCCACAATGAATGCATGGAACCACTCTTCGAGCCTAGCACGACCACAAGGACTGTGCACCCCGTCCCCTACAGCAACGACCAACTGTCGCCTGGAACCAGATGAACGAGGTAGTGGGTAATAGACAGGTAGGCACCTTGTCAACATGCACATCGAGCGCAGCCACACCGAGGATGTCAAACAACAGCCAGTCACTTGAAATGACATTATCAAATAAAGTAGATCTGTAAAAGAATACGGCTATGCAGACATAACTCTTCACTAAATTAGCATATGATGTAAGTTGGATAGCAACGAATCTGTGATAAGCACAAAATGTCCAGAAGTTACATGAAAATACTACAAACACAATAAAGTTAACAAAGATAACCACAATTAGCGTAAGCAGCGTGGCCAGTTAATAGAAGATTACTCAGGTAGGCAGAACAAACCAAATAAAGTGGAAGGAAATTTATCCAGCTTAAAAAGACCTAGTTTAAGTGTTAGTTGGTTTAGCCCAACTGCGGTGAAGAAGCATCATGAATGCAACATCAGCCATATAGTGTTCGTCTTACAGACAGTATCTCTCGCATATCGGCGTGTTCAAGAACTGGTTCACAATATCTACCAATTTTGATTGGAACCAACCCGCATCTACCGTTGATGTTGGCGTGAGGTCACTTAGCTGTTCATCCAGATACTCAAACTAGGCCTGTGTGTTGGTCTTATCTATTGCTTTTGGCGGTGTCAAATGGGTATCCAGATAAGTTTATTCAGAGTCACAGCAAGTCTCCCAGAAAGAAAAACCGGTGTTAACTGCAAAGAAAAGGGTTTATTTGTTCTTGTCGTTCAAAGGAGACCATACGGCAAATTATATCAGAAATAAGCTCCGGTCCTCCCTTAATATTGCCTGGTATTCGAAATCGTTCGTCAGTGGTCGTGAAATGCGCCACCTATGTTCTGAAATTCTATACGTCACTCACTCGTGGTTTGACCTATGTACACATGTGTACTGTTCTTACATTTAATATTAGAGACGTAGTTAGTTATCCTATTCTTGGGAAGGGGGTCCTTTAGGTGCATCAGCGTTAAACGTAGCGCTTGACCTAGCTAGAATATCACCATCGTATTTTCTCAGTTTAGTACCCTCCGAATCGCTTCCGACGTGCCTTCCTTGTACGGAACTCCTACCGTCCATATGCACTCCGTTGTGAGCCTTGACTGTTGAGTTAGTACTTTATGTAACTGAGGTTTGACTAACCGCCTTGGGTAACCACTATCTAATAGTCTGTCCACTCTCCGTGCGGTCTTTTTGTTTTCCTCCATCATGCACATGGTTTGTATCCTGCAAAACAGCGCTAGGACTATCAAAGCGTAAACCCGTTTAGGATGTCCCGAAGTGTAGTGGAGTACCGTATCAGTATCTGCTGTTTAGCGATATATGGGCGTCCTTAAATTTCCGCATTCCTGCGGACTAGGCAGTCAAGAAATGGTATAGTACCGCTACCAGATTACAACACAATATCAAAATGAAGCTTAAATGATCAAACAACTCATGCTTCTTATCCCGATGAACAAATACAACGGCGTTGTCTACATAGCGCCAACCATTGCAATGAGGCTGGACCACACCGTGGTGCGATGCCTTGCGTGCTTCAGAGGTCCACTGAGCTATCTTGGGTGGTGATTTATTGCACCTGCAGAGCCACAGATGCCAGATTGGGCAATGGTTAGAGGCCAGACAAACTCAGCATCCAAATCCTTTAGATTGGGGTTGGAATGAGGGTGGCTACTTATACCTTAAAAAGGACCCCTTGTAGAACAACGCTAAACCCGCGCGCTTGCGGTCAAGTTTTTGAACAAAAGGCTGGTTGAGAACCCTACTCGTTCCCAAGTAGAAACCTGGGAAACCAAACAGTATGCAGCCCAAGCTATACTATGAATCTGAATCTTCCGTCAAACCATTTGCTGATGCTCTGTCCACCGCAGAGGATAATCAACGGTGCGCAATCTATTGCATCGAGCAGGGGGGATAGGGGTTTGGATGCTACTGCTCAAGCTTTCCCGTCTTCTTATTCCCCTTATTGCGCTTTTTCACCCTTATCGTCCCGTTTCAGCTTCACTTTTTGCCCCCGTTTTCAACCCTCCAATTTTTGGCCCTCCCCCACCTTGCTTTGATAGGCTTTTACCTTTTAGTTTCAACGTATGGGCGAACGCAGAGTCATTCATGCCGTGTCGACAAGTCCATGTCCAAGCAAGCGGTCAAGCCCAGTTCATCGGCTCCCATTTGGAGCCCTCGATCCTCCTTCAGAATGACATGCCTCAATGTACGCACATTGCTATAGATCGGTCAATAGGCAATACTTGCCCGAACATTAGAGACCCTCTCGGTCGATATCTGCTGCTTATCGGAGACACGCTTGCAAGACTCGAGCTCTGTGCTCACTTTGCGCCCCCTTCAGGTGACGCTAGCAGCACTTTCTCATTGCGCCTAACCGGTGACGATACAGATTCGAGCACTGGCCAAGCCGATGCTCGAAACTATTGCCCTCAGTCTCCGGGATGAAGCTGCTCTGATTGATTGGATCCCAATCAGTATCCGGATGCGTGCGGTCCGATTGGCTGGCTCGTTCAAAGCTTTGAAATCGCGTGGGACTAACAGATGTCTATTCGACATCGCTGCCTATGCGCTCACAAACTCTAGTGATGATTCGGTAAAAGACGACTTCAACCGCCAACTGAACGAGCTCCATCGCCACAAAAGCAGCTCGGACACTGTAGTGCTGGTCGGGGATCGGAACGTTCAAGTTGGAAACTTCTCCACTGATAAACTGCATCTGGATGGCCAACATGGTGTAGGCTCCTGTAAAGATAACGCTGAGCGATTACTTCATTTGGGTGAAGATGCTCGCTTATTTCTTGCGAGCATCAATTTTCGATACAGCACTCACCGGAGGTTGACCTGGCGTCCACCAGCCTCGAACCAGCTATGGACGCAAATTGATCACATTGCGATAAGTTATCGATGGAGAGGCTGCATCCAAAATTGTCGCTCGATTTGGAGCAGGTGTGGACATCGATTATGCACTTGTATGTGCTGACCTGCGAATGCGTTTTGGCGAACGCCCACGACGACGCTGTGAGCGCATTGACACTAGCCAACTGACGAAGCCAGATGTTCGGAATGCCGATCAAAGTAAGCTGACATACGAGTTGAGTAAGAGCTCACTGGATACCATAGTAGATCACTGATCTCATGTTCACCAGACCTAACTAATAGCAGGAGAATTCTCATGTGGTAGGTCCAATCGCCAAAATGGACATTAGGTTACTTCACAGTCTCTGAAACTTAGCGATGCTCGCAGACACATTCCGGCTGGAAGCGAACAGATAGAGACTCGCAGAAAACTCCGGGCAAAACTGTGTTATCCTGAAGTGAGACCACAAAGCCTAGTGGTCTAATCGTGCATCGGAGATGGAAATGGCCACTGCCCTTGGTAACCATCGGAACTTATCCCGTCTGCAATGGGAAACGGGCAGCAAGAGACCTGGTGTTAGTGAAACTATACGTGACGAGAGTGGACAGCCTACCCACAACTTGTCCAAACGCTTGGAGCGTAGGGATGAGCACTTTGAAAGGCAACTTAATCGGTCGGAATTGTCAAATTTCTCGTCGGCCACTGATCGCGC